CAATTTCTACTTTTAAATATCAAAATCTTCAAATCTTCCAAGCTCAATTCTTCAATTTCCAAACTTCCAATCCTCAATACCATTACTCATTGCTGCTACTATATGCCAGATAACGTGTATTCTATACGTATCTGATCGATGACTAGCCTTAATCGAAAGTTCTCTCTCGTGACCGGGAGGGGTAATTAACTATAGGGGCTTGCGCCTATAGGAAATTAGAACTCAGATCATAAAGTCCTCGCAAAATGAGGGCGAAATCTCTGGGTAGTGTCTTATCTACAAACCCATCTGCCTTCCAAAATTTACCCCGAAACTTAGTTCGTTAAAACTTCCTCGCCAAATAATAAAAGAAAAAAAGCGAGCGGAGGCCGGGGCCGAATTTTCGGAGCCCACACCCTCTTATGTGTGTCCGCCTATTTTTTCATGATTTGTTGTGCCCTCAGTAGATGTTTATTTAACTCTTTCAGCACCCTGTCCCTTTCTTCCAAGTACTGCTCAACTGAATATACTGGTGTGCTTCCCCTCCCATAGTGCACTAGGTGTGGGGGATCCCTTCCATACATCACTTTAAAAGGAGTCATCTGAGAAGCAGAATGGTAAGATGTATTGTACCAATACTCGGCCCATGGTAACCACTTCGCCCACATCCGTGATGTTTCAGAAGCAAAACACCTCAAATAGGTCTCCAAACTTCGATTTATCACCTCCATTTGCCTGTCTATATGGGGATTGTAGGCGGTACTCTTTTTAAGATTTGTGCCCTACAACCTGAACAACTCCCTCCAAAATTGGTTGAGAAACACTTTGTCATGATCAGTCACAATGGATTCAGGGATCTCATGCAGTCTAACCACCTCCCTGATAAATGTTGCTGCTACTGACACCGTGGTGTAGGGATGTCGTAAGAGGATGAAATGTGCATACTTACTAAGTCTGTCAACCACCACCATGATGACAGTGAATCCTTGTGATCGTGGTAGGCCATCAATGAAATCTATGGACACTTCCTCCCATACTCGGTTTGGAAGTACCAAGGGTTGTAGTAATCCTCATGAAGCCATGACCATGTATTTTTTTCTCTGGCACACTTCATACCTAGCCACCATCTTCTCAACATCTTTATGCATCCCCTTCCAGTAAAGCTTAGATGCTAGCATTCTATAGGTTTTCTGTACTCCCGAGTGACCTCCAATCGCACTGGCGTGGAACTCCTGTAATAAGTGGGGAATGTGCATGGAGGTTCGTGGCATCATAAATCTCCCCCGATACAATAACCTCTCCCTCTCCATATAGTAACCAGAGTGGCTACTCTTGTCTTTCGTCAAATCCTCCTTGATCTTTTGCAACTCTTCATTTAACATGCTTTCTTCCTTGCCTCCAGTTGACTATCAAAGGTATAGACACAACCAACTCCTGGAGCTCCCCAACACACCGGGATAAGGCATCAACTGCTTTGTTCTCCAACCTCGGCTTGTACTGGATCTCAAAATAATAGCCTAATAGTTTGGACAAACATCACTGATGCTCCTTGGTCACCATCCGTTGCTCCAACAGGTACTTCAAGCTCCTCTAATCCGTTTGGACGATGAAATGTCTACCCAAAAGATAAGGGCGCCACTTTTGCATAGCGAAGACAATGTCCATTAACTCCCTCTCATAAATTGACTTCAATCTCGCCCTTGTGGATAACACTTGATTGAAGTACACTATAGGTATGTGGTTCTGCATCAACACTGAATTTCGTCATATGAATTGATAGTTTTGATTTTTTGAAGTAAATTAATAGTATTTAGATTTCCCGTATTTCATAGATTAGTGCATTTCATACATGGTATTGACTTACATTAAAAAATTGATATGAATAAAGTAAGATAAACGCGAATGTCACAAATGTCACGTTATCTTGCGTTTGTTAAATCATTTTTTATTGACTGAATTACGCTGATAAAATACCCTATATAGGAGGGCGGGTCGATGAACTTTTCTTAAAATAAAAGTTTGTGGTGTAATTTTGGATGTTAGCCGACAATTGATTGACTGAATTACGCTGACAGACATAGGGTGGCTTCTCTTTATGGATCATTGAAAGTCACTTGTAATGATGATGTAATGATGATAAAATAACGATATAATGAATAATTGATAAGACTCATGAATTACAGATGAAAGAATGAAAACATCACATTAAAACTAGATGTCCTACTTTGCTAATTTTGAGAAGCATTAGTATCATGTTGTAACCAATGTTCAATTACACTTTCCTGTAATTTTAATGTATGACAAATTAACTTAATTCCTCTATAATTCACATACTCTTGTGTATCGCATTTATTCTTAAAATAAGAACCAACACACTTCTCCTCTACTCATTTAACATCTTTTAATATTCAAAGTAATATTAAAAGTTTAGTAAGCCAATAAATTTCTTAATCTGCTAAGAATTTTCACACTTCTATTGAAATATGATCAGACCTGATTGCTTCTCTACACTTCAATTTTTTTTAAAGTCTCTTCTACTCTGGTTTTACTAAAACGATGATAAAAATAAAACCCTCTATTTTCATTTAGGGTGATAAGATACACGAAGTCAATCATATTCATACAACATTAAGAAGTTTATCGAAATATTTCATCCACATATGTTGAATATCCTCTTCTAAAAAGAATACTTTTTTATCTTCGTTATTAATGCACTTCACTTGAACTAGAACTTTACTTCTGTCTATTTGCTTGACTAACTTATGCATATATCTTTCATTCTCCTTAGTATGCAATTTATAGGCTATCAATTAAACAATATTTCTCTTTTTTGATTAAATCCAAAAAACACAAAATTCACACAAATGTTATGTTAATGGTCGCCTAATAAATTTTTTTTATAAAAAAGGAGATACTACCCCTTAAAATGGGTAGGTAGTCTCCAATTGTACTAGACAAGAAAGAATCACAAACAATCTGAGACTCAAACCGAAATAAAAATACAAAAAACTAAAAGAATATTGTTAAAACTCTTTTTACGTCAAACCGTATATTTATAATCATAGAATCCACAAAATTACAATCACGGGGATGCAAATCTCAGAACCTGTAAGGATGGAAGTCCCAACATATATTGGTAATGTAAGGCAGAGATCCACATGCTGCTTATCCAGGTGGAACCTTCAACCAGAAACCAAGTAGTCATAAATGAACGAAAATGATATAGAGGAATCACTAAAATTGAACAAACAAGCAATATAAGAAATCAAGCCAGACAAGCATCACAGCTAAGCAAGGAGATTTAAGGCTTCGTTTGAGACGGCTTTTTTATTGCTTTTTAAAACATCTTTCTAGTTTAAAAATTAAAATTTTTATACTAGGAAACTGCTTTAAGAAGCAATAAGAAAGCTGTCCCAAACGTAGCCTAAGTGAAGAGAAGAGTAATGAAAATCTTGCAAGCAAGCAGGCGCTGCATCAACATGTGTTTATTGAGCTCAATGTACACGTGTTAACATAGCTTGTTGCATATTCTTTCTATTTTTGGCCGAATTTGATGATTCATTTTATGATTTTTGTTAACATTAATTAATATGTATACAAATATGGTTAAGCAGATCTTTGGTGACCCAGATGCTGCTGATATTGTCTTCACCAGTGGGGCAGATATTTTGACTGTAGGAATTAATATTACCCATCAAGTTATTTTGACAGGTAAAAAAATGCATTTTCTCCTAATTATGATAACATACTTAGACTTCATTTGGGACAGCTTTCTTTCTGCTTCTTAAAGCAGTTTTTTAGTATAAAAATTAAAATTTTTTATTTAAAATTACTTTAGAAAACAATAAAAAAAACTATCTCAAACAAACCCTTAAAGAATTTGGCTACTATCTTCATTTCATTTTTATATTCGGATCATCTAATGGCATATCTCTTCTTCAAAATATGTTCACTTGCCGTTTCATACTTCATTTGGGATGGCTTTTTTTACTGCTTCTTAAAGCAGCTTCTTAGTACAAAAATTAAATTTTTGTACTAGAAAACTGCTTTAAGAAGTACTAAAAAAATCGTCCCAAACGAAGCTTTAATCTCATTGTAGAAACCCTACGAACAGCCAAATAACTTTTGCTGATTATATATCATTAACTATCCTTATTGCATGTAATTTCTTCCTTATATGGCTTAAATTTTCTTTTTCGTCACCAAAAAATATCCACTCAAGTGGATTAGTTTTTTATATTATAACCAGAAGTATTTGATGCAGATGCTGATCGTGGCAAGCTCGAACGAAGCGAAGGGAAGTTTGCTCAATACATTTGCAAAATTTTAGAATTTTATTTCTCGTATCACAGAGATGCATATGGAATAAAAGGTAGGATTGAAATTCATAGCTCTAATTTATTTGCCATATAAAAATTTTTCTACTGCTTGAATTCAGGAGTGTATCTACATGATCCAACTACAGTCATTGCCGCTGCATATCCTTCTCTCTTGACTTACACTGAAGGGGTTGTACGAGTTCAGACATGTGGCATTACAAGAGGGCTTACGTTATTTGATAACACCAAAAAAAGGTCAGCCGATCAAACATTAAATTATCAAAATCATTCATAAGCTTTCAGATGCCCATTTTAGTCTTAAATTTCTTTAGCTGTTTAGTTTGTTCTCGAGGATCTAAATAATCTCTAACTATATAAAAAATACTAATTGTCAACTTTATTCTTTAATAGGAATCAAATTAATTATTCCGTGGGATCATTTAGGTTCTTATTTAAAACGTTAAGGAGCTAAAATGAAATTTTTAAATAGTTAGGGATCATTTTGATCATTATCTCCATCAAATTTGAACTAATTTAATGATATAGTTCTTTTATTAAATTTTGATGAAGGGAAGTTTTCATGAGAGCATTTTAGATTTCTTGGATTAGTTTTATTAGTTTAAGCTGATATAGTTTAAGAGAGGATCAAATTGACTTAGGTTTCATTTATTATTTTTTTTTAAATTGTATTAAAAAATTATTATAAAAAACAATAAGAAAAATGTTCGAAATGAAATCTTAAATTTGATAAGTTGAGAGATGAAATTAGATATTTTAAATTAGCTCAAAATCAAAATGTGCTTCATCTACTTTATTTTTTTAATTATTACAAGCAATTCTACTGGAAAGATCAAGTTAAACTAAATTAGTTCTTTTATTAAAAATATGTTCAGATATGCAGAAATTACGGAGTGGTCTGATAAGCCGAAGGTGAAGGTAGCTGTTACCGTGGATGCTCCGGCGGTCGTTGAGATTGTGATGGATAGGCTAATGAACTCCTAAAGTTTATTTAACATTTCGAATTAAGCACATCATCAGGGTTTGAACTGAGGTAAGCTGTTTTCATTGATCTGTAGGCATAACTTGTTTTTATTGCAACTGAATAATATTTTATAAGTATTTAAGGGTTTTTTACAAAATTATAATTTAAAGCTAACTTATTATAATATTTAAGGTTTTATTTGGGAGAAAATTTTTTGCCGCTTTTTAAAGTAATTTTTTAAAAGTCGGTTTTAGAAAGTAGTAAGAAAGCTGCACTTTCTCGTACGGATAGTTTTCTTAATGCTTTATAAAATAGCATTTAGTTATTTTTTTTTTTTCAATTTTTGAAAGTAGCACTTGAAAGTTATCTCAAACAAAGCCCTATGATGATCTGTGTATACAATACTATTTTTAATTTTTTATATTGTATTGAAACTTTTTCAGTATATTGAAAATTAAACTCACAACAAAATTAGCTTGCTATTTATTAAGAAAATAAAATTTCATTTCCACATTGTGAGCTCTATATAGCCTGCATTAATGAAAAAAGCAGTTTAAGTGTATATGTTTCATTTGAGATGATATATTCTTTCTATTTTTACCATCAATATATTTATAAATTATGTTCTTAATAATAATTCTTATTATGTATTCCTAAATAGAGTTTTTAAAGTAAATTGCATAAATATAAGAAAAATAATAATTCTACAGTTTTTTCACCCAAATAAGTAAAATTTTAATGGCTGTTTTTTTTTTTTAAACAATTAAAAAAAGGTATATCAAACGAACAGACATGGCTGTTTTGGGAGGTTCACGAATTAGTTCAAATATGAAAGAAACAACAGTCATATAAATCAAGCAAAGACCCATTGTCGTCCCTCGCATGGAAAATTGAGTTCTAAGTGGGACCATGTCAAGAAGGTTTTCTCTAATGGTATGTACCAACTCGCTAAAATTGAAGATGATCAGTTTATGCCTCCAATTAATGGGAAATTCCATTCTTATATCCTAGAAAGCCAGTCTTCTTCGAAACCTGCCAATCATGAGAGTCAAAAGATGTAGTCCATCTGGATTTCAATACGCAAACAAACAATGGGATCACACCACTTATCTAAGAGACTAAGGGTTCGTTTGAGACAGCTTTTATAATGCTTTCAAAAACAGTGTTTTAGTTAAAAAATTTCTTGAATTAGAAATTTTTGTACCAAAAAACGGTTTGCACTTTTTAGCCAATAAAGTCAAATTTACATACATCACATTGATAAGTTTTGAACTTAAGACATATTGATTGATAGTCAAAACTCTTAGCTAACAAATAGGGGTGTCAATTTGGGTCAACGGGTCGGGTTCGGAACCCGGAATTGACCCGGCACTATTCGGGTCAACTCGAACCCGACCCGTTTTAAAAATGGGTCATGTTTACGGACCCGAACCCGACACGATTCGGGTCTGGGTTAACCTAACTCGACACGAATGACCCGAAGTTGACCTAAAATTGCTAGTTTTTCGGGTAAAAAACGGGCCAATATTTGATTTTCGGTTCAAAATCGAGTCAAAAAATGGGTTTCCGGGTCAAATATGAGTTTTCGTGTCAATTTCGGGTTGCTGGGTCAACCCGGCCCGATTTTTAAAACGGGTTGATTTGTTGAACCCGAATCCGAAGTCGACCCGTTTCGGGTTCGGGTTGACCCTAATCCGGATTTTTTTTGATTCGGGTTGTGTTTCGGGCGTGTCAAAAATTGACACCCCTAAGTGCATCTGCACAATGTTATACTTTGTTAATTATAAAATCATAAGATTCGACAATGACGTGCAGGCTATACGCCATCAATCCGTTCATGCTAAAGAGGCCAAACACTCTCTAAAAAGCCATAGACAATAAACTTTATCTTACAAGAGGAGAAGAAGAAGAAATTTACCAACACCAGAAATAAAAATGTAGCAACTGCATCTTTCTAAAAATTAGCAGTATTTTTCTACTAGTACCAATTCAACATTATTATTTTTTTTTTCTAAGTAGGACTTACTTGTTTGCATGGAGATAGAAAACACTATTTATTAAACATACGTGGAGAACATTTTTCTTCTGCAAGTGGCTTCGGAGATGCAGCCAAATATATATCCAAAACCCTTTCTTCTTGCTGGTCAACTTGCCTATGGAAACAATTGCAATTACTCTTAAAAGAAATTAAAAAAAAAAAAGAAGCATGAAATAATAACCTTCAAAGTTAGTTCTTCCAGGTTGAGATGTTTGGGAAGACAACATTTTCCCAAACGCTTATGCTGAGATAGCAATGACATTCAAATGGTATGTACTATAGTAGTTAACAGATAAGCGTTTTGTAGTTCATATAGAACTTTTTACTGATCAGTTTTTTTTCACTGAGTTCAATTTTTTTAGTGCATTAAATTTAAACCGCAGATACATATTATGTAGGAAGTCAACCACCGCTTGCTGGTTCTAATATGATAGGATTTCCATGGAGATTATGTTTAATAATATTTTGACCGATTATTACAGTATTTTACCTTGGCAAGTAAGCAATATTTTGATCACTTGATTATCATTAAGGTTGATTAACTTAGCATTGGAGGCAGGATTTAAACATGATATAGTATTTTAGGTAGGATTTATATTAAAACTTAGGTTATGTTTGGGATGATTTTTTTCATGCTTTTTAAAGCAGCTTTTGAGTACAAAAATTTAAACTTTTGTACTAAAAAGTTATTTTAAGAAGCAATAAGAAAGCCATCCCAAACGAAGACTTAGTCTCAATTTGTGACAGTTTTCTTTCTGCTTCTTAAAACAGCTTTTTAATACAAAAAATTAAGTTTTATGTGAAAAAATGGTTTTAAGATGCATTAAGAAAGCCTTCACAAATGAAGTCTTAGTTTGGAACAATTTTTTATTACAATTTATGCTTTTAAAAAATTTTTGTACTAAAAAAAACTTTGTACAAACAAATTTTAAGAAAACTATATCAAACGAAGCTTAAATCCTATCAAACAGAGTTTTTGAGATTTTAAATTCTATTATTCCAATAAATGTCGTTTCAACCTCATTATTCATTAAATTTATTATTAGTCAAATTCCACCGTTCACAAAATTTAGCAACTTAAGAATTTATCGCTCTCATAAATCTTAAATTCTAAAATAAATTGTCAATATATTTATCAACATTTAGCAAAATTTACCAATTATAATGCCAAATAATTTTTAGATTTTAATCATTTCAAGATTTTCTAAATTTGGATTTAGAAGATTTACTAAACCCTACTTAGTTAAATCATTCTTGTAGCCCAAACAACCCCTAAACCCTAAACTTTAAAGATTTATAATGCACACACCAATATACCATGCAATATAACAATAGCGAAAAGTACTTCTTACCACTCAAGAAGACTTCTCAGCTCATCATCTTCAGCAAAATCATATTGACTTTGGAATGCACCTACGTCCTTCTCCCTTGTAGAAGTCTCTTTATCCACCACCATACTGAAATCATAAACCTGACTCTTGACTACACCCTCCAACGCCGACCCATCACATCCGTTATTAATCATCATCACATTCTGCTGTTCTTCCATCTTCAACTTCCGTTCTTCGAGAGCCGCCATTGCCGATTCCCATCGGGATAGCTCGGAAAAAGCGTAGGATAGCTCAAACTGGATCTGCTCCAGTTGCTGCTGGAGTCCAGAGATTGTTCTAACGCAGCCGTAGACAGGATCTATGAAATACATTTTGGACTCATAGACAAGTGAAATTACTGCATCTTGCCGCTCTCTGGGATGTAGATCAGTCAAGATCTTGGCCACGTTGCTGGCACCGAAGACGCGGTGAACTAGGGCAAACATCTGCTGTTGTTCCGGGAGGAAATAGGGTGCGAAGATGCAATCAGGATGACATTTTCGGCGTAGATATTTGCATGCAGCGCATGGGGTATTTTGTACAGACCCCCATTCCGCTGCCATTGATGAGGATGATGATGATAAGACAGAAGATGGGGTAGATAGGATTGGCGATTGTTGATCGTCCATCGATGCGAGGGTCATTGTTGTCATCTCAGATAGATTCATCAATCATCTATCGATCAACAGAAGAAGAGCACGGAGGGATTGTACTGTAAATCATCAAAGTGAAGGAGAAAAAAGAAATTGCAAGAAGGATTGGCATAAACAGATCATCAACGAAGAGATCGAAGAAGATACTTACCAATCTGAAGACTAATTAGAAGAGGATCAATTAACTCTTCCTTTCTTGCCCTCTTTTTCTCCGTCTCTATCTCTCCCTCGTCGCTGGGACGATCCGGTATAAATAGAGACGGGCGCGCGCGCGCGCGCGCGCATTAGCAAATCTTTAATAAAAAAAAAAATAAAAAAAATAATATATATAATTATATACCACATCATTGTTATTCTTATTTATTTAAATATTTAATATCTTAATTTTTATATTTATTTAAATGACACCTTAATATTTAAATTAAACAAAAAGCATATACATATTGATATGTATTTTATTTTAAATAAATTAATATTTAAGATATAGTATATGTGATTTTAAATTAAAATATTATATAAATAAATTTTAAAAAGAAGCATTCGATGCATATTTAAATTAAGAACTTATATAATCAAATTTAGGATCATTTGATCACCGTCGTTGGATAACTTCATTAAACATCCCTCATTCAATCTTATACTATGATTCTCAAATCATAATTGTCCAACTACAGCTTTTTGACTGACACTGCTTAACTGCCCCTCGAACAATAGCCACACAATTATTAGATCTTTGTATAATGCTAAAATATTAGACTCTCTTTCTCTTTGTCGATACGAATTTTCTAGCACCAAAAAAAAAAAATCAATAAATTCAATTTGCTAAAAACAATATCAATACCTCCCAAAGACAAAATACCAAAAAAAAAAAAGAGCAAATCCCCCAATTGCCAAGATACGAATCATATTAAAATTTCTTATCTTAGGGGGATAGTTAGATGAGAATAATATATGAATTTGTCTTCGTCGGTATTTTTAAAGATCACCGGAAGCATTGGCGGAGCCAGAAATATTTTACAGCGGGCCCGAATTAAAAAATTTTCTAAATTTTTTTTAACCGAGAAAACTTGCATAGACAATTTTATAAATTTATTTTTAATTTGTTATTTTTATTGATAGGAACTCATAATTTTGAATCGAATGTAAGATTTTCTAAATATATTTCCAGATTATTTGATGTATTCAATTTAAATTCTGTTCTCTGTTGATTTTGTTTGTCGTCTCAGCTAAAATAGTTGACATTTTTTATTTTAAAAACTTCTTAAAATCTCTTTGCAGGGCTATATGCATCGATAAGCAGCACAAATATATTAGAGAATTAATAAAAAATAATATTTTTTATAGATATTTGATCTAAGATAACATTTGATCCTTTTTTTTTTGACAAAACTAAAATCAAATATCTCAATACAATCAAGTGATCCTTTTATATATTTTGGCTAATTGTATAATTACGAAGGTGCTATCTGAAATTTTATTTATTTTATAATATTCAATATTATCTTTTCAATATGATTTAATCCGTTTTCCAATAATTGATTAAAATTTGGTATTTTATTCTATTTCATTTCTATAAATCTTTTTTTAAATTTTTATTTAATTTCTAAAAATATGATTTATCAAAACTTTCCATCAAACTGTGGGGAGGTTTGTCTTCGATCCATAAACAAGAAATAGAGAGACCTGTTTATAATTTATTTAAAAAAAAAAGAAGTTTTTTTTCTAAAATATTTAAAAAACGACTGAACAGTTAAAGAGGATACTGCCGTCTCGTTTACGACCACCAGTGACCCGCCTGACCCGCCAACCGTAATGTGATACTCTTTGGAACCTGATAAATAAACTCCACGCCAAGGCCTACTTTACATCAAGCTAATCACGACCCAATTATCCCACTCAATCTCTCTAAAACTACTCATGTAAGAAAAACTATCAAGACCAATTAGGAGCACAGATTACATCAAATATTTAATCTAAACTTATGCTTCATTTGGGATAGACAGCTTTTTTCTGCTTCTTAAAACAGCTTTTTAATACAAAATTAAAATTTTTGTACTAAAAAGCTGCTTTAAGAAGCCGAAAGAAAGCCGTCCCAAAAAAAGCCTTAGGCTTCGTTTGGGACGACTTTTTTACGGCTTCTTGAAGCAGCTTTAGCTTTTTAGTACAAAAAATTTATTTTTTTAAAGTACAAAGCTGCTTCAAGAAGATGTAAAAAAGCCTTCCCAGACGAAACCTTAGGCTTCGTTTGGGACGGCTTTTTTATTGCTTTCTGAAAAGGAAAATTTTGTACTAAAACTTCATTTCATAAAGCAATAAAAAAGCCGTCCCAAACGAAGCCTTAATCATTACGTTAAGCTGGGGAAAAACGAGCATTAGAAGCAAATATATCATATGAGTCAATTCTTAAGTAACAAGATAAGCAAATTAATTGTCATAACGTACAAACACTACTAATAAGCAGAGAAATAAGCACACTGGTTGTTATGTTTCTAAGTAAGCATACAAAGAGTTTTAACACATTGCAACTCTAATAAAAGACCATAAAGAAGGCCCAGTGGGGTTAACTTCTAGTAGTAGTTAGACAATATCACAATCAGCAGGCAGGCCTTCTTCATTAGTGTAGATAGGTAGGAGACTGGTACTGATGGACATGGTACCCGTTGCCATAATAGGCGGTGTGCGTGGGAGATAACGTGTAGGTAGCAGATCCAATGAGTGCAGGTGGCATTGGGTGGGTTTCGGGTGGGTACAGGTACTGACGCTCGTACGGGTACTGGTATCGTTCTGGCGTGCGGTAAAAGCTCTGTTCAGGAAATGTTTGGGCCATTCGAGGAGGAGGAGCGTAGCTCGTAGCACTCGCGCGGGGCCTCTTCGACTGAGGCTTCGAAGCATCGGCAGCTCTCCTTTTGTCCGCCTTGGCTTTCTCCAGCTGAATTATTCTCTTTTGAAGCGTGTCCACAGGGTATTGTTCCTCAAGCTTGTGCTCTTCGATGCATTTGATCACAGATTTAAGAGCAGAGAGCTCGCGTTCATTCATTTCATTCTGAAACAAATGGAAGTTTTACGAAACATTTCAGGTGAACTGAATTTGAGAGTTTTCATTTCGACGACGGGAAAAAAATTCAGTTGGTGATAACCTCAACTCGAACAAGAGCAAGTAAAAATTAATTCAGGTCATTAATTTTTAATTTAAGGATATTTCATTTCAATCAATTTAGAGATTGAAAGTAGATGAAATAATTGTAATTATGGCGTGATAAATTAAAAATGTTCAATATTATATAAATGATATCTAATGCATTTGAAGTTGTCATTAAAAATGTCAAATTCATTCAATGTTGCTTTGACGACGTTTGATTTCTTAAGGATTTACTCTAACCGAGGTTTAAAATTACACAATTGGGTATTGAGGCTTTTTTCGTTCATGAAGCGAAGCGCATGCCTCAAAATAAAAAAAATTGTAAAGTGAAAATAAAAATTAAAAGAAAATTTTTATATAATACCTAAATAATATATTAAAAGATAACATAATAACTTTTGTTGAACTATAAAGTAACAAATTAACATACATATAAAATAAAAAATTGAATAAGATCTAAATTGATAAGTGGTAAATTATGTGAACTAGAATTAAAATTCAAATATTACAAAAGCAAAACAACATAAAATATATGAATTGCATTAAATTATCATATAATATTAAGTTCAACTCTAAATTTTGTCATTCTAAGTTCCTTACGCATCTACGTTTAATTCCTAAAGAAAACTAAGATAATCGACAACAACTCAGAAATCATATGTACTATCAATACTAAGTGAATTTTTATTTGAGTCGTTGTCATGACAAATTGTTCTCTCCCTTGTCTCATCCAGTAGAGTGGATACCTCTCAATGTACTTCTTCTTCATTTATTTCACTCATCCATCTTTCATAAATGTTTGTCATCAACATAACGATAAGAGTAATACTCCAAAATTTTTAGGAAAGATAGTGGTGGTGTGCGGCTTTCAAGTGATCCCCTGTGACGGGTATAATGCTGGTGGTTACGGCGAAGGCTGAGGGCTAGAGGGCGACAAAGTTGCTACGGCTTGGGGGTGCAAGAAAGCAATATTTTTTTTAAAGCTTTTGTATAGGATTTAGGTAAGTTCTAAAAAAAAAAAAACATAGAGTGAGGCATATGCCTCATGCTAGCGAGGAGAGGCCCGCCTCTCAGCTAAGATGAGGTGTAAGCCTCACAAAAAAAATCTGAGGAATAAGCCTTGAGACGTTTTTTACAAGAATTGAGCGGAGGTGGGCTTCAAGGCGAGCCTCATATTGCACAATTTTAAACAATGTTATATGCTGACTTTTGTCTACTTATTTGCAGGTGCTCGTGATCAACAGTTACAGTGGGTGGAGCTTGCAACCGTAGGAGCTAGAGTTTGCAACTGCAGGAGCTGATGTTTGCAATTGCAAAGAGGTTTAGAGAGCTCATAAGTAGCTTGGAGAGTTGTTGTGAGTTTGAGAGATCGTTTGAGAGTTTTATTTTGGAGAGCTGTTAGCTTGTACTTAGGATGATTGGATAGTGGAAATAATTAATTTTATGCTTTCTTTTGTTTATTTTTATTTGAATTATTTTAATCAATTAATTGTGTTAACTAATTAAATAAAATTTTAATTAAAGTTTAAATTTAATTAAAATTTTAAATTAAATTTGCTTTGCTCATTGATTATAAATTTTAAATGTATTTTCAATTACATTGACTTAATTTAATTATGTTATTAATTAAATTAGTTGCTCAAAGATTTAATAATTTTAAAATTTTAAATTTAATTAAATGATTCATTAATTAAATTTGAGTTTTATTTTTTTAAAATGATTAAAGTTTGGTTTTAATTAATCATACATTAATCCGTTAAGTTTAAAATGAATTATTTAATGATTTAGATAATGATTTAGATTTCAATTAATTAGTTTTGCAAATTAATTATATGATTTTAGTTTAATTATTTAAATTAAATTTTCAATTTCAATTAAGTTTTAAATTAATTGTTTTTATTTTCAATTAAGATCTGATTAGGTTTTAAGTTAATTAATTTGGTTCAAGCAAATTTGGAATTAGTTGATGATTTCATTGACTATGTTAAATTTAAAGCTTGCATTTGATTTTAATTCAATTTCTTAGTTATTTTAATTAGTTAAAGCTTTAATTTTATCTTAGTTAATTTAAATGAAGTTTCAATTTGATTCTTTTTATATATTTTAAAACAAATTTAATTTTAGTTAATTAAACTTCAAAAAAAAATTTTAATCGAAGAATTTTAATTGTATTTTAAGGTAATCAGTGATTTGATGATTTAAAATTGAATTTTAATTTATTTAGGATTAGTTGATTAATTAATTAGATTAATTATTAAATTGAATCATTCAATCAATTATTCAATTAGTTAAAGATAATTAGTTTGAAGTTATTCTCCAACAATCCCTAAACGTTTGGATAGTTTTGTAGGATCAATGGATAGGACTTCGGGGGAGCAAATCAACCCCGAAAAATGGTCTTCGAGTCTTCAACCCACAGCTAAATTAGATCGACGCCCGAGGGCTTCGAGGGACCGAATCAACTCCGGGACTTGCTTCAATTGGTGATTTTTTACGATCATGATGTTCGCTTTCACTTCATATTAATATTAATAAAATTATAATATAATACTGTACACCATTATATATTACTCTCCTCCTCCCCTCACTATTTGAGATAGGGGATCTGATAGGAAATACTTGAGTTCGCAAGCAATCCAACCCAAATCGGAAATCAAACATCAACAATATTACTATCTAGAACAGGAAAACATCATAAATATATTGTTTACAGCAGAAAAAACAACACTAGTCTGGGGAAATCTTAGAGAAAACTCAAAGAAAGACTTGTATTCCACTAGACGATGAATAAAACAACAAAAATACAATTTATTCTTCAATCCGAGAGGAAGAACAACTCTCCAATCTCCGGCAACGCCAAGAGCCCAAAGCAAGAAACCCCATATCTCAAATTACAATTCAAATTCAAAATAACCCCTTATTCCCTCTTTACTCCCTAATTAAAGCTAAAAGGAATGATACAAATTCCCTAAACACCCCTCTAATTCAAAAATTCTCTCCAACGAAATGTTTAATGCTTGCCTAGGCCCACCCCCTCTTCCGCCGCTCCTTATGTGTGGTTATGCCCGGCTTTGGGCCGCCGGGTGTAGAACCGGACCGGTCCAGCTGGGACCGGTCCAAGCGTAACATTACTCCCCTCCCAAAGATTCACACCTTGTCCTCAAGGTGAAAGTACGAGAACTGCTGCTTCACCATCTCATAGGGCTCCCAAGTGGCCTCGTAGTCGGGGAGATCCTTCCATTTGATCAACACCTCTTTGTTTCCCTTTTTATCCAACCTTACCTCTTCTAGCTCCACGGGTTCCATGACCACCTCCAAATCCTCTATAAGTGATGTTGGCAATTCCACACTAGCCGCATGCTCTCCAAGTGCTCTCACACGTGAAACACCTGGTGTATGGTAGCGGAGGAGGGTAACTTCAGACGATACACCACTGCTCCAATCTTTTCCAAGATTTCATAGGGACCAAAATACCTCGGGGCCAATTTCTTGTTCCTCCTATTAGCCACTAATTTTTGCCTGTAGGGCCTTAGTTTCAAGTATACCTTCTCCCCTACTTCATATTGTATGTACCTCCTGTGTATATATGCTCGCTTCTTCATGATTTGTTTTGCTCTTCCCAGATGTTTCTTCAACTCCTCCAGCACGAGGTCTCTTTCCTCTAGGTATTGTTCCACTGAAGAGATAGGTGTACTTCCTCTCCCATAGTGCACTAGGTGTGAGGGGTCCCTCCCATACAACACTTTGAACGGGGTCATCTGAGAAGCAGAATGGTACGAGCTGTTGTACCAGTACTCCGCCCATGGTAACCATTGAGCCCACTTCCGTGGTGTTTCTGAAGCAAACCACCTCAAATATGTCTATAAGCTCCGGTTTACCACCTCTGCCTGTCCATCTGTCTGAATATGATAGGCAGTACTCCTCTTGAGGACAGTGCCCTGCATTCGGAATAGTTCCCTCCAAAACTGACTAAGGAATACTTTGTCTCTATCAGACACAATTGATTCGGGCATCCCGTGTAATATAACCACTTCCCTGATAAAAGTTGCTGCCATTGATACCACGGTGTACGAATGTCGTAGGAGGATGAAGTGTACATACTTACTGAGCCGGTCCACCACTACCAAAATGACTGTGAATCCCTCTGAGCGGGGTAGGCCATCGATGAAATCCATGGACACTTGCTCCCATACTATGTTTGGAAGTGCCAATGGTTGGAGTAACCCTCATGGTGTCATTTCCATGTATTTATTTCTCTGACACACCTCACACCTTGCCACCATCTCCTCCACATCGCATCCCCTTCTAGTAGAGTTCAATTCCTAACCTCCTGTATGTCTTCTGTACTCCTGAATATCCTCCAACTGCATTGTCATGGAACTCCTGCAACAAGTAGGAAATATGTATGAAAGTTCGGGCATCACAAACCTCCCGTGATACAATAGTCTCTCCCCTTCAATGCAGTAACCCGGATGGCTACTCTTTTGTTTCCTCAGATCATCCCTGATCTTTCCCAATTCTTCATCTAACCTGCTCTCTTCCTTGATGGCCCCCCAGTCGACCATCAAGGGTACCGACAGAGCTAACTCCTGGAGCTACCCCACACGTCTGGATAGGGCGTCTGCTACTTTATTTTCCAAACCAGACATGTACTGGTTCTCGAAATCGTAGCCCAAAAGTTTGGAAAGCCACCGCTGATGCTCCTCAGTCACCATCCTTTGCTCCAAGAGGTACTTTAAACTCCTTTGATTAGTCCGGACAATAAAGTGTCGACCCAAAAGATAAGGGCGCCACTTCTGAATGGCCAAGATAATCGCCATCAGCTCCCTCTCGAAAACGGACTTCAGTCATGCCCTGATTGATAGCATTTGACTGAAGTATGCTACATGCCTGTGGTTCTGCATCAACACTGCTCCCAACCCATATCCTGATGCATCAGTCTCTACAACAAAAGTCTGGCTGAAATTTGGAAGAGCTAGAACAGGAACAATGGTCATGACTTTCTTCAACTTCTCAAAGGCCTGGGTCGCTGCATCTCCCCGAGAAAAGTTGACTTGCTTTAGCTGCTAGTCAAAGGCCATGCAATGGTGCCATACCCCTTCACGAACTTCCTGTAATAGCAGACAATCCTACGAAACCCCTCAACTCTCTTATGTTTCTAGGTAGTGGTCATTTCTGCATTGCTTCAATTTTGGTTTGGTCCGCCGCCACTCATTGGGATACCACGTGTCCCAAGTATTCCACACTGGATTGAGCAAAACTATATTCCTTCAGGTTGGCTCTCAGTTGGTGCTCCTGCAGTACTTCTAAGACCATCCTCAATTACTCCAAGTGCTCTTCCCCAGTCTTGTTGTATACCAAAATGTCATTAAAGAAGATCATGACAAACTTCCTGAGGTACTGCTTGAACACCCTGTTGATCAATGACTGAAACGTAGCGGGAGCGTTAGTCAATCCAAAGGGCATTACCAGAAATTCATAATGTCCTTCATGTGTCCTGAACGCTGTATTTGGAACATCTGCCTCCCTCATTCTGATTTGGTGATATCCGAATTTTAAGTCCAGCTTGGAAAACACCACTGCTCCATGTAGCTCATCTAGCAGCTCATCAATCATTAGAATTGGGAACTTGTCTGGTACAATGCCTTTATTCAAAGTCCTATAATCAACACAAAATCTCCAACTGCCATCCTTCTTCTTGACCAAGAGAACTGGACTAGAGAAAGGACTGTTACTGGGTCTGATGATCCCTGCCTCCAGCATTTCCCGGATCAACTTCTCAATCTCATCTTTCTGAATCTGTGGGTAACAATAAGGGCGGACGCTGATCGGTGTCTCCCCTTCTTTCAATATAATGGCATGCTCCAACTCCCTCTGTGGAGGTAACCCTTGGGGAGGTTTAAAGACCTCACTGAACTGGTGTATGAGCGACTGAACTATAGTGGGAACATTGCCTTCTTCCTCTAATCTGACCCCTTCCAGGCGATGCAACTCCACTAAGTAGCCTCCTCCCTCCTCCTGAATGGTTATGATTAGGGATTTTAGAGAAACCACTGCCTTGGTCAGCCTGGCATCACCCTGAATCATCCTCCTCCTTCCTCCTACCACCAACTCCATCCTCAGTGTACCCCAATTGATCTTGGTCTCCCCCAATGTCTGCAGCCACTTCATTCCTAAGATGACGTCAGTGCTTCCCAATTCCAAGGGAAGGAAGTCATCCCTCACCTGGATCCCCTGAATCTTCAACACCACCCCTCTACAGACTCCTCTACCCATTTCCACCTTTCTCGTGCCCATCATCACCCCATAGCCTCCTGTATCCACCAACTCCATCCCCAACAGCTCAACGATCTGGTTGGAAATGAAATTGTTGGTCTCCCCACTATCAACCAGCACCACCAACTCACAGTCAGCTATCTCTCATTTCACTTTCATAGTGTGACTCAGACTGAATCCCACTATGGAGTTCAGAGAGACTTTTGCCACATCCAGGTGCAGCTTCTCCTCCTCTTCCTCCGATCTGCTCCAACCTCCCTCCTCGTCTTCCTCATCTTCACAGACAAGGAGAACCTGAAGAGTTTGGTCCTTGCACTTATACCCCGGCATTTCCCATCACATCTGAAGCACATCCCTTTCGTCCTCTTGTCCAGCATCTCCTTCTCTGTCAGTTTTTGAATTGTCCCCCATTTCCCCCTCCAAATTTTCTCCTTTGGCGCTTCCTTCATACTCCCTGACACTGCCCCTTTTGAGGGTAGGAAAGTGATAGTCATCTTGTATGATTCTCCAGAATAGTTCCCTATAGCTCCTCTTTCTGATTTGTTCTGATCTTCCACCAACTGCGCCAGCTCCATAGCCTTCCCTAGGATCCTTGGTTCCAGCACCCTGACTGCTGTTCGGATTTTCGATTTTAGCCCCTTCATGAAGTTCCCTTCCAGGGTTGACTCTGAAATGTGATCCAATCTGCTAGCCAAGTACTCGAACCTGTCCCGATAATCTGCCACAGTCCCCTCCTGAGTCAAGGCAAAGAACTGCTAATACAAGTATCCTCCCCCATCGGCTCAGAAACGCTCTAATAAGCAATCTTTGAACTCTCTCCAGCTCCGGATGGGCTCCCTCATAATACCATGCCAAGGCTTTTCCTTCCAGACACAAACCCGTCGCTGTCAGCTTCTCATCCTCTGTCAACCCGTTAACAGCAAAGTATCGCTCCACCTTGTAGATCCAACCATGGCCATCTTCACCTCAAAGACGGGCATCTTCAGCTTTCTCACCCGTGGGTCCCCCCCGTGCCTCCTGAATCCTCCATAACCTCCCATTCCCCGAAGATGAGGTGCTCCCCAACTGTCACGATCCTCCCTCCGGCGATTATACCCGACCCCTCATCATATTCCCCTCTTCTCCCTTCAAAATCAGCACCCCGGCGATGAAAATCTTCCCTTGTCCCAACGAAATCAGCCCCCCTCCGGTCATTTCCCAAACTCATCTCTTCTCTAGAAAGTGGCTCTAGAGGTGGCATGTCATCCTCCCCCTCAATGACCCCCACTTTCGGATTTCTCCTCCCCCTAAACGGGTTCGGATTCCCTCCTACACCATGACCTCCCGTGGCCTCTCTCGCTGCCGATGACGTAGGATTGGTCTTCAACTCTAATAGTTTCTTCAGCATTTCATCCATCACATTGAATTTCTCTTCTATCCTTTCATTGTTGGAGGTGATTTGAGTTTGAAAGTCAAAGAACTTTCATTTCAAATCTGATTTCAGTTGGCCAATCTCACCTTCCAAGACCTCTACCTTCTTCCCGGCCATCTCTCTTCCCAAGAATCACGAAGATCTTCTTCCGGAGAAAAAAAAAACCGTTGAAATTTCAGAATTTTAGCCGCCGACAGTCCCAAATCGATATGCTCTGATACCAATTTGATAGGAAATACTAGAGTTCGCAAGCAATCCAACTCAAATCGGAAATCAAACAGCAACAATATTGTTGTCCAGAACAGTAAAACAGCAGAAATCTGCTGTTTACAGCAGAAAAACAGCACTAGTCCGAGAAAATCTGAGAGAAAACTCAAAGAAATACTTGTATTTCACTGGACGATGAATAAAACAACAAAGATATAATTTGTTCTTCAATCCGAGAGGAAGAACAACTCTCCAATCTCCGGCAACGCCAAGAACCCAAAGCAAAAAACCCTAGATCTCAAATTACAATTCAAATTCAAGATAACCCCTAATTCCCTCATTACTCCCTAATTAAAGCTAAAAGAAAGGATACAAATTCCCTAAACACCCTTCTAATTCAAAAATTTCCTCCAACGAAACATTTAATGCTTACCTAGGCCCACCCCCACTTCCGCCGCTCCTTCTGCGTGGTTCCGCCCGGCTTTGGGCCGCAGGGTGTAGAACCAGACCGGTCCAGTTGGGACCGGTCCAAGCGTAACAGGATCATGCATGGGTCGGGCATAGGGCACAGAGGCGGGTTGGGCTGCTAGTTCGCGAGCAAGAAGCCAGAGAGCCGATCAGGATTGAACGAGGCGGGCGACAATAGATGAGGGAGGGGTGGTTTGGCCGGTTCTTACATTATGGTAGGTCGCAAACGAATGGTAGAACGGCGGGTCTGATTGTGTGTAGGAATAGGGCGGAGGTTGGCATGCGGTGTGAGCACCGCAGTTTAGTCGTTGAGAGAGGCCGACGGGTGGAGGTGTCAGGTCTTGTTCGCGTAAGAGAAGCCAACGACGGGCGTCAAAGCAGGTTCATTTACAGGATTCAGAGGGGGATCGCCAAAGCAAGAGAGAACCATATCTTTTAATTGCCGGTGAGCGTGTGCCCTATCCTTCGATATTTTTGTGTGTGTGTGTGTGTGGGGGGGTGGCTGATCAGCTAATCGACAATCAGCACATTCATCTTTCCCACAATCCACAAGCAAAAGTAGTCGCATAATATAAAAAAATCGGGACAATTATTCTCGCTAACCAATGGTGCATAGCTTGCAACTAATGCTTACAATTTCATATTACACCACTGATATTCAAATTTCAAACTACAATAAAGTGACATTTGTGAGACAAACATTTCAACATTTTAATTTTCCCCAATAGCATTGAATTGGAATAGGATCTTAACGGTCTAGATAAAAACCAAAGGTTCAAACGGGGAATGGAAAAACAACAAGTTCTTAGGTTCAGATAACGGCATCATTTTTGTAACTTATATCTGGGATAAACCTTTCAAGTTGACATAATGTACAGGCATAAGTATACAAAAAGTTCACAGTTAACAGTAATGCAAGTTGACAGCTAAAAACATTACCTGAGCACCAGGAGACATGCTTCCAGATTTGGAATGTAATACTTTCCTCGCATCCTTCAGATATGATTTGAGTAGAGGAACAGGATGAAACTTGTCTGTCAGCTCAAATGCAAATACGAGATTAACAGCATCAATTTGTCTGCCACTATTGATCAGCATATCGATGACACCTAACGCATCCACCATGCAATAGAAGATAATAAGCTGATAATAACTATTAAACCAAATCTGATTAATTTGGCAATGTAAGGTGGTTCTAAGAATCAGAAGATAAAAGGTACAGCAGAAACAGTATCAGAATTTTAGCTAAAACATTTCAATTAGGTTGTCACGAAAAACCAATATCCGTATTAAACAGCACGGGGGAAACATGTGTAGAATCATCTCGATAACGCAATAGAAGTTCAGATAATTTACCATTGATGTCTCTAATTTCCTTCACTGATAAGCCTCAGCGATATAAAGGCGGGTAAAACTAATAAAAAATATACATGATACAAATTTATATTAATCCAAAGAAAACTCTACAGAGTAGTATTATATTATAACATCCCAAGGCATTACAATGATACAAACTCAACTAAAATCAAAGTGAATTTAACAAGATATTAAGTAAGAGGATACTCTTGGTTGTGTAAGGAAGAAAAAAAATGAAAGAGGAGGAATGTTGGTGTATGCATTTAAAATTGAAACAATAGAGTTGAATAAGGTATTGGAAATTTATTCATTTTGCTTTTCTTCAGACATGAAACCGATTGAAATTTTTTGTTCTTGCATAATTAATAAAACCCAGTAATTATTTACTATGAAATTGTGTTAGAAATTTCGAAGAGTGAGAGGAGGAAAGTAATAGGGTATAGTTTTTGTTTTGTAGAAAAAAGGATGAAAGAGGAGGGATTTTGTTGTATGCATCTAAAATTAAAATTTTATAAATAAATTTAAGATAATGAATTATGGATTTTAAATTCCCTTTATGTTGTGAATTTAAATTAGAAATTGTAATTTACTAAATTGGATGAGGTTAAAAAGATAGCAGTTCAATTATGATCAAATATTAATGATTTACCTTTGATGATGCATTTGTAATTTAAATATAATGCTATGTTTAAATATGCTATTTTGGGATTTGAAGAAAATTTAAATACCATGGTTTAATAGATTTGAGAATAAATTGTTTGCAAGATGCCTTGTTTAAAAACATAATGATATTAGTTTTAATCAAGGTTAGAAGAGAATTATAGTTAAATTGAAAATTTGAAATGTGAATATATTAAAGTAAATTAAGTTAGATAATTGACTTAAAGAAGAATGATTAATGTGCACAAATATTAGAATTAAGAAAAAGGAAATAAGTGAATTAACAATATTTTATATGCATTTTATATGTATTATTCCATTAAAAGAGTAAGTGAACAATTAAAAAGCAAAAGAAAGTCATCTAAAGATTAAGCAGGTAATTTACCTTTTTACTTTATGACAAATTACAGCTCATATGTATTTTAAGCTGGATGCATTGATTGACATATTCGATTATATACTCCTTCAAATGTTATTCAGAATATAACTTGTTGATGAATAATTGAAAGAATGATTTTTTTCTTTGCTTAAATACTTTCAGGAAGTAATAACTTTTAAATGAATTGCAATAGGTTTCAATCACGCACATCGTCCAAATATGTTTATATATATGATGGATGAAAATATACAAAAACGATATGATTGTGCATAATGAATAAAAAAGTTCACCCTTTTACAGTATTGACTGTGAAAGCAATTTACATGCACATGTAAAATAGAAAATATTTGGGAAAGAAAATGATTGTATCTTAATCGATACAAAATTTTAGATAGTGCTCTTAAGACAGATGTTTTATTTGAAGATATGATATGATAAAATCATTACAAAATATCATGTTTCACAAAAAGATATTGCCTTTACTTTATCCAAATAGTATGCCTATTTAAATGCCTTTTAAATGAAATGCTTAATGATTACTTATGATAATTTATACGCGTCATTTCTAATTTTGAAATTGTTATATTATTACATTATAATTAGCTACTAAATTGTTGTGTGACTCAATCTGTTGTGAAATTTTAATGATTTAGAAAAGGCTAATCAAAATTAAATGGGTGAGAGAATGACTTGTTCACAGGAGAAGAGGAGCAAGTGAGAATAGGTGTTTAAAATTCAAAACTATTTGATTTAGTTAATTTTTTGAAGTATCTGAAATATAACTGAATTGTACATGTTCTGAATACCAAAAAAACATTATTGTTTAGTGGCACTTTAATCAAAGATTGTAATGAAATCGCATGACGTTGTCATGGCTCCTTGGTCTTTCGAAAGTAGAGCCACTAATATTGTTGGGTTTATTAATTCTTCTTCTTCCAAAGGTCATTAGTTAATCCTCGCTGTAGCTTATTATTTCTCAAAATGAGTCGAATCCATATCATTAAGAAAAGTCAAAGTTAAGCATGTACAACAATTTTTTCCAGAATCACGTTGTATTCAAATTTGGTGTTCCATATCAAATCATATCCAATAATGGTTATACCCTTAGAAGTACCAAAATAAATCAGTTTATTAAGAAGTGTAACATTTCTTGGAAGCATAACACGATATTCGATCTTCAAGCCAATGGATTGACTAGGCTTTCAACAAAATATTATTAGTTCAATTGTAAAAAAAAAATCAATAATAAGAAACATGTCAGTGGTATGGAAAGTTGATTGAAACACTGTGGACCTATCGAACCACATATAGGGCCCCAACTCGGTGTAACCCATTTAGAAATACAGCTTCAATCACTAAGAATTACAATCAACAACGAAATCACAAGTGAAAAAAATGTCCAACTAAGGTTTGGAAGGCCCTGATTATTTAGATGAGAAATATTTACAAGTTCAAAAGAACCTATATAGCTCAAGCTCATGACAAATTCGACTGTTTTAGAACTTTCAATGTAGGTGAAAGAGACCTAGTTCATTGTAGATCAATTATGGCTCACCAAAAAAATAGATGCAAAGTTCAAGCCTACTTAAGAAAGCCCATTTGTGATAGAAAAAGCCTATCAAAGAGGAATTTATCAGTTGATTGATGTCAATAGGGAACATTTTATGTTGCATATTAATGAATGTTAACTTAAAAATATTACAATTAACTTTATTCAATTTTCAAATATTATCAATGAATGAATGTTTCTCCCATACAGAAATATTTCTTTCATCCGGTTGTTAATAGACTGTAAACCACCAAAGCCATAAGTCCAAATCCAATTTCTAAATCGAAACATCTTTCTCCAAAAAAAAGTCAAATTTAATCTTAGCATAAAATAATAGATTAGAGCTCCCCAGCTAAGAATTTTGTTAAGGACTTGTCGGTTAGATAGAATCTAAACCTAGTAAGGCCTCTCTTAACATAGTATTGTAGGTCTAATTCAACCCAAGATTGAACATCAACAAATATATTCTAATTTAGACTTTTAGTGATTGCCAAATACCCTTTAGCCTTCCTGATATAAAAGTTCATGTCCAAAAATGTGACCTTAGTACAAAAATCAATGAGGGTTTAGTAGTAGACAAGATACTCTTAACCTTACTTTTTTTTATTTTTGTCTTCACAAGACAATTTCTTTTTTTGAATCATTGCCAAAATGTCTTTTAGAACATTTCGATAGGTGACAAATGTCTTTGATGCTTCATGAAACACTAATCTATTCCTAATCTTTCTCAAGTGATAATCAAAACAACATTGAACCTATAGATGGTAGCAAAATTATCCCTATCTTTTAGGAGAGTAAAATATCACTAGATCCTTTAGCAGTAGTCAAATTGCTTCTAATCAAATCGAATCTTTTCCATAGACAACAAATGCCCCTACAACATTTTAGGAGTAAACAAAACAATTCTAAATATCTATCGAGAGTCATCGAATACTATTATTTTTAAGATGATAGAAAGATATCCCACTAATTCGTTAAATTTAAACTAATTCAAGTTAAAAGTTCATAGATCTCTGACTTTCCCTCCAAAATCATACTCTATTTATTTGGAGGACTTTATTTGATAATAATTGTTGGTCAATGCCAATATACGTGATGTGCTTCTATAGTTCAATACATGATCTATTGGGAATTTATAATCCTTTTGTTGACTCAATTTTTTAATCAAGTAAACTTGATTTAATTAAATTAAACTAATTGATTTAATTTCATCTCAATTTGTTCATTTGAGACAACTCGATTTAATCAAATGAAACCAAAAAATTCAAATTAGTTAAATCATTTAATTTAGCCCAATATGACTAAGTTGAGCCGAATTAAAAAAAGAGTCCAAATCAGCCCTATCAAGCCAAATAAATTTCAAATTAACTAGTTAAGTTCAGCCAATACCCAAAATGAGGCTTTAATACCTCAATTTATGTTGACAGCGCTTATATAATTTGTATTGCCCGAGGTTGTGCAACTAGAGACACGAAGAGGAATCGGCAAATGCCAACCCGTGGTCATTAATGTCCTTTATCTATGTTAGCCTGATGTTCTCAAGAAGTCTAGCTCAACAAGGGCATTTCTCGAGTGATTTTGGCTTCGTATACCCGTGATTAGAAGAGTGGAAGAGAGCTTTTGGATTTTCATCAAGCTAAGGACACCCACCCTAGCATCATTCTCTCTTGGGTGCCTTCTTGTCGCACACCTCCACTAAGGCCTTTCCTGAATTTTCGTCTACTTGTGGCTGCTAGGTCTGAGAATCATTGATCTCGGTAAGCTCTGGTATAATGCTACTCTTTGGGTCATCTGATAAGGGGACATGCCAGGAACAATCAAGCAAATTCATCTCTAATAAATGAAGCTTCTACTTTTTACCAGTTATTCGACTATAGCCCTGATAAGGTAATTTTAATGGACTTAGAAAGAAAGCCCCAAGCTCTCTTGTGGATGGTTGTTGATGGTGAAAACCTTAGACCTCTTGGTTGATCAAAGCTAAAAAGCTCTCGAGTAGATTGATATCAAAACCTCTCCTCTCCCTTCATCATCATAACTTCATCATGTGACACAAAATCACATAACTTTTCTAATATGATTCACCCATAAGAACAAAATCAGCACCAAATAGCAAAAAACAACCACCAAACTCAAGAGAAAACAACAATGGTATGAAAGAACAACAT